TCTATTCTTTCACGACGGCATAATACAGTTTAATCACAGGTTTCCTAAATCCTAAGCAAATGTGACCTGGCTGGAGATCGCTTTCTTCTGCTGGAGGCTGCAGCCTGCTCAGTCATAGGGAGAAAGCTAGGTGCTGTTGATCACGTAGTGAAAGGTCTCCCATGTATCCCTGTAGCCTAGGAGCCCCAGGCCCCCAGCTCCTTTGGTGGGGCCTCTTGTGGAATTCAGGTCTTGGCCAGAAATCTCTGCTTTGACCCGAGAATGTCTGAGGAGAGGCTCAGCAAACCTGGCGGCTACTCTTCAGGTTTGGCAAACTTGAGGTTTTTCCAGTGCCTTGTGTTCAGCAAAACTGACAATGCGTTTGTATGGAAACCCTTCTCTAATTTTTAAACCCCTGTGCATTTTTTACATACATCTGATCCATATGTTTTTGATTTATTTACATTTAACTCATCAAATCAAATTAGGAGCTACAATGATGAATGGGAACAATGGTAATTTCCAAGAAGGTTTTTGAGTCCTTTTTCTTAGAACTAAATCACATTTCCTCACCTCCTCCCCCATCTCCAACCCTTAAAAGTACCAGACTGAGCTGGATTTGAAATTTAGAACCCAAATGTGAAATAAAGACCTAAGCTTGGCAGAGGAACGTTTTGAGGAAGTCACATTGTGAGGGAGGGGTGAGTGCGGGGTGATGAAGATGCAGGGAGTCTGCGATTCGTCATTAGATGGCTTAAATAAATTAACCTGGCTTTCCCAGATCTCAACAGAAGCCCCCTAGCCATTTCTCTTGGATATGATCTTATCACCATCCCATCAGGCAAAGGGCTTTAGTTTTGAAGGAGTGGGGATGGAGGAGGGACGAACCCACCTTCAGTAGCCTCAAACTGTTTTTTTTTTTTTTTTTTTTAAATAACGGCACCCTTCTCCCGCTCCTGACTGGTTAAGGCCCCTCCATCTGGAAGCATTTACAACATACAACAATTTTAATCTCGTGTTAGAGATCTCGGTATATATATATATATATATATATATATATAACATATCCATTAAGCTAAATTATAGGTACACACTCATATTTGACACAGTTTTGTCTGGCCCAGGTTTCCACACACACAGAGGGGCCTTTCCCAGTTACCCTTTCTACTACACCATCATTTTTCAAGTTTAGTTTGAGGCCAACAGTATTTCTCTGAGACATTCTGGCCACCAGTGTACTAAGACCAAACTGCTGTCTTATGTTCATGAGAGAGGGGTCCTCTACAGAGTCTGTTGAACCCATACATGGTAGGTCACTCTGATCCTGAACATAGAAATTTCCTTGAACTCAACTCTCCTGCCCAGTGATCCCTCATCTAATCAGACAGTTGTAGTTTGTTTTGTTTGTTTGTGTGCTTGTTTGAGACAGTGTCTCACTCAGTAGCCCTGGCTAAGCTGGAACTTACTATGTAGACCAGGCTGGTTTCAAACTCAGAGAGATCTGCCTGTCTCTGCTTTCTGAGTGCTGGGATCAAAGGTGTGTGCCAGTACACCCTGCTACTTAGTACCTGTATAGCCTTGGGGAGCTACTTTACTTTCCTGAGTCTCAACTTCCTAGTGTTTAAGGTAGGTATAACAGCGGTCTCAGAGTTGTCAGGATCAAATGAGATGGTGTGTGTAAAAATCCCGAGTATATTGGATGGGGAATAGGGAAATATTCCAAAGGTACAAAGTTTCAATCAAACAGGAAAAACAGATTTCAGACACTAGACATGCAGTAGATGACTGTGGCCAACAACAACTGCAGATTTCAAAACTGCTGCTGAAAGGTTTCTAAAGAGTAGATATTTTCTAAGGCTAATAGTAGCACAGTGATTGGACGCTATAAAATCTTAACCAAACAGAGACTGTCCTTCTAACCATACTGAGCTGCTTTCCCCGTATATAAAAAAAAGCATCCAAATATGTACAGGAAAGAGGGGAGCCAAGAAGCAAGTTTTTAGGCTGCTTGAAAGAGCAAAACATTTAATTAGTGATTCCTGAGATCCCCAGGGAAGATTCTGTAAAGTACAAAAGTGAGGGTGCCATTTAACATGTCTGGTGAAAGCTTCTCTCCCAAGGGAGAAAGTGCAGTTTCCAGTCATAAATCCTGTGCTCAGTGGAGTTCAAAGGAAAGAGAATTAAGGGTTCAGTATTTATTAGTTTCCTCTGGTGAGAAGCAGTTTTAGCCGTAATTCGCTGATCCTGATGTTGGCCAACGTGGGGTTGGGGGAGGACTAGGAACTCCAGGGGACCACTATGTAACTGTGATCCTTACCATGCAGAACGGCTTCGAGGGTAGGAAGAGAATGCCTGAAGGCTCTGCATGGGCTATCACCTTTTCTACTAAGCTAACTTCGTGTATAGCTCCAGGGTCTATTGAAAAATAATGTCTTTTCCATGCCAAATATTTACTGGAGATTTCTGTGCAATCTCCAGCTCTAGTAGTCTCAAAAAGAACTGCCCTTATTCACAGCCCTGGCCAGAGATGAGTCAGGGTGACTGTTTATGCTCATGAAGCATAACGGTGTAGACACATGGTCTGAAGGGCAAACATTAGGCTGGGAAGTCACTTGTGGTCTTGAATGAAAAGTGAACTGGGTCCATCAGGCTCCTCTCTAGAAATATGGTTTGAGAGCGCACGAAGTGAGGTTGCTTGTGGTAGACATACAGACTGTGGTTGCCACATGAACAGCAGATTCCCTTCATTCTTGCTGTGGTAGCTCAGCAGAGCTGTTTTGATTCTGAATTACTCTCTCATGAAGCCTGGCTATTCAAATATTCTTTTTGTAGAGACCATAAACATGCCTTCCAATATAATTAAATATGTCCATTTTGGGGTTACCGTGAGTGAATTTGATGTTTCTCACAATCAAAAGAATCTACAGTAGAACAGTCCCTTCTGAGCTGGGTACAGTGACTCAGACTTGCAATCCTAGCTAGTTGAGAGGCCAAAACAGGAGAATCACAAATTTGAAGTTAGCTTGGGCAATAGAACAAGACACCTGTCACAAACTGCCTTCCTCTAAAAAAGCCAGCATATACTGGGCTGGGAGTGTAGCGCTTGTGGTAGAGCATACAATGAACTGTCAACATCTATACACAATATCTACCTCAATTTCCCTCCCCTAAATCCAGACCCTGTTCTTCAGAAGAACATGCAGATGAAGCCGTGTTTATACATTCCGGATGTTTCCAGTGTAATACGCAGCTTTAATAGCTGATTTTTGTTTTTTTTTTGACTTTTTGAGACAGGGTCTCCCTGTAGTCGTAGCTGGCCTGGAACTCACTATGTAGACCAGGTTGGCCTTGAACTCACAGAGATCTGCCTGCCTCTGCCTCCTGAGTGCTGGGATTAAAGGTGTATACCACCATGCCTGGCTTTAATAGCTGATTCTTCATAGTACAGTGTAACTGGTGGCTTCTTACTTACTTTTTTACTACAGAAACTGGATATTAAAGTTTCTCTCTCTCTCTCTCTCTCTCTCTCTCTCTCTCTCTCTCTCTCTCTCTCCTGCTCCTCCCCTTCCCCTCTTGTATCCTCCCAGCCTCCTTTGCAGCTAGGGGAGTGACAGTGCTATTAAAGTGAGTGCATGTGGAGATGAGGCTGTCTCCACTCTTTGCACAACAATGTGGTTGGGGGAGGGTCACGAGGCCTTTAGCTGAAGAGCTCTTGGTACCTGATGGCTGCTGGGGAGGGGCAGTCATTTTTCCTTAGGGGTATGGCCACTGGTAGGTTGCTCATCTACCAGGTGGATGGCCTGACACCTATGTATATATGGGGAGCACTAAGTAGACTCAGGGGGTTATAAGAAAGAAAGAAAGAAAGAAAGAAAGAAAGAAAGAAAGAAAGAAAGAAAGAAAGGAAGGAAGGAAGGAAGGATGAGAGAAAGAGAGAAAGAGAAAGAGAGAAAGGAAGGAAGGAGGACATGAAGTTGGACAGGGACATATTGTAGGAAGGGGAATCAGGGAGAGCTTGAAGAGGGCCAATGGGAAATAGATAAATGCAAAATACATTGTATACACATATGAAATTCCCAAAATTAATAAAAACATTTTTAAAAAGTAAAAAACAATGGCTGGAGAGATGGCTCAGAGGTTAAGAGCACTAATTGCTCTTGCAGAGGATCCAGGTTCAGTTTCCAGGATTGTAGGAAATATGTTTTTTTTAACAAACAAAATGCTGAACATATTTTTTGATTAACTTCTCCAAACAACACCTGAATGACACAAGCTCTCCAGGTAATTAAAATCTATGAGAGAAGATGGCATAGCATGCAGGAATAGCTGGGATACAAGGTCGAGAGTCAAAGTGTCAGAGGGTGTTTCTCTGTGTATGTGTGAGCAGTAGGCAAAGGCAGAACTTCTGTCTGGAGGAGGTGGAAATCAAGCACATCCCCTTAGGAGATGCATCTGAGCTAAAGCACAGACAGTAGAACTGGCTATCTGGGATGGGGAGCAGGGCATTCTTGGTAGAAGGAGCACATCTAAACAAAGATGAGGAACTGAAGGTCATGTGGGGTAAAGGACTTCATCTGGTTTGTGTAGGAGAGCAAAGATCTAATTAGAAAGCCTGGAATGACGATGACTGAAGGACTCAGCTCTTTACTCCAAGTCATGCAGTGCTATTGAAGGTTTCTGAGTCATGAGGAGTCAGAATAGTTCTCTGGGAAAGCTCCCTTTACAGCAGTATGTGGAATGGACCGAAGGAGGGGATGAGGAGGTTATTCTGCTATCTGGGCAGGGGTGATGAGGAGGTTATTCGGCTATCTGGGCAGGGGTGATGAGGAGGTTATTCGGCTATCTGGGCAGGGGTGATAAGGCTATGAATTCAGTAGTCAGTGTGAGACTAGACTGGCAGGAGATAGAGAGAAGTGCAGGTAATGCATACTGGCTGTTGGCTGGATATGGGGTATGTCAGGGAAGGAATAATGCACAAATATTTTATTGAATGAGATAGAAACAAAAATCTCATGCGGTACCTCCGGAGCTGAAGATAGGAATGGTTTTATGTAGATGTTGGAGTCGTGAACCTTCAGATCATGGTCCCCAAGTCCCCTGGTCACTCCAATAGTTGCCATTACCCGGGCCTAGGAGTATAAGCAAAGAGTCATCAGAAATATATACAGCGACAGCATCCTGTCCCATTACAGCTGCTAAGTGTAAGAGCAATGCAGGAATTTCCCAATTCTTCCTGTCCATCTTTCTATGCCCCTGGCTGTTACCTGATGTGGGAGGTATCAACAAGAAAGAACTCATCAAAATCACTTCTGTATTAGGAGTTATCTTTTTATCCGAAGCTTAACTGGGTTGCTGTGGTCTGTTCTCACCTTTTCTTCTTCTTCTTCTTTTTTTTTTTTGTAGAGACTGGAGGGAAGAATGCTTGAATAAACTAACTGTAATATCATTAAGTACTGAAAGGAACATGAACAATTGAGTATGTGCATGTGAATTTACAGGGAATAAAAGTCTACTGAGAAGGTCCCCTAGAGGTAGTGGCAGTAGGTTTGGTACCAAAAGGGGGACAGTATCAAGATAGGTTGACACAGAGAGATAGTCTGCATATTGGGCTGAGTGGAGTGAAGCCCAGTGACCTAACACTAGGTCATCAATTATAACAGAGCCATGTAATGTGGTTCAAAGACCTGGGCTGGAATCTTCCCTCTGCAACTTGTGTAATAAGAGCAACTACTTCGCAGGGGCAAAAATGAAGTAAATAAATGCTAAGCAACATTACAATTCAGGGCAGGTGAGAGAGATCAGCAGGTAACGGTGCTTGTCACTAAGTCTAACAATCTAAATTCAGTCCCTGGAACTCACATAATAGAAGAAGAAAACTGAATTCTGGAAACTGTTCTCTGAACTCCACACGTGTGTCTTGGCACGAATGTGTCCCCACTCTACATAATGAGACCATGATACTTTTAGAGGGTGGGTTGGAAACAGGATCTCACACTGTAGCTCAGGCTAGCTTTAAACTCACAGAAATCCTCCTGCCTCAGTCTTCTGAAGGCTGAGATTATGGACTTGAGCCACCATGTCTAGTTCCATGACACAAGAAACAAATATAAAATATTGTGTGTGTGTGTGTGTGTGAGCATGCACGTGCATGTGTGTATACAAGTGCACCACAGCATATGTGTGCAAGTCAGAAGGCAGCTTGCAGGAGTCAGTTCTTTCCTCCCATCATGCCAGTTCTAGGGATCAAACTCAGGTCCTTAGGCTTGGTGGCAAGTGTTTATTGGCTGAGTCATCTTACCAGTCCCCATGATACATTTTCAAAGATCAGAGTCACTGGAAACAAAAGACAGACATGAGGTGAGAAGCCGTGGTCCTGTTGACCAGGTGGGCTGCAGAAGACATCTGCTTTGCTGGGAACGCACTTCCTTCTAGATAAGAAGTGTGCAACTTGAAATGCGGATGTCCCCAAGTCCCTTGTGGCCCTTCTGCTGCTCTCTCCCTGCAACAGCAGCTTCTCTTAGGCTTGGTGGCAAGTGTTTATTGGCTGAGTCATCTTACCAGTCCCCATGATACATTTTCAAAGATCAGAGTCACTGGAAACAAAAGACAGACATGAGGTGAGAAGCCAAGGTCCTGTTGACCAGGTGGGCTGCAGAAGACATCTGCTTTGCTGGGAACGT